CAGCTCAGATCATGATCACAGGGTCCTGGGATCAAAGCCTGCATCAGGCTCTCTGCTCGGCAGGGAGCCTGCTTCCCCCTCTCTCTGCCTGCCTCTCTGTCTACTTATGATCTCTCTGTCACATAAATAAAATCTTAAAAAAAAATAATAAAGTAGTGTTTGACTGAAAAAAAAAAAAAGGATGTGAATCTTGAGGAGACATTTTTGGAATTTGGCTTACCACACTGGCTTCAAACATAAAGTAAGAAAAATGACTTTTGAATTCATCTAGTCTTGGTTCCTATCTTCTAGGAAATTGACCTATTCCAAATATCCATTCCTAGAGGTTGATTTTGATCATGTCCTTTTTGATAGGAGATCACCCACATTTTTCTAAATTTTTCAAATTTGTTGACATAAGTATATATGTAATATTTCTTCTGATTCTTTTCCTTTCTTCTATATCTATGGTTGTTTCTTTTCTCATTCATAATCTTATATTCCTTTTTTGCTCCTTTTCCTTAAATCAGGCTTGAGGAAGGCTTATGCATTTTAGTGTATTTTAAAAACAAACACACAAAATAACTATTGCTTTTATTTACCCTTTCATACTATATTTTTATTTCTACCTAAGTATTTTTAGTGTTAGTGGTTTTTGGTATTGGTTTCCTATTCATAGTTTCTTGTGATTTATTTTATGCTTTTTCTAATTTCCTGAGATGAGAACCTTGGGATCCTTTTCACTAAATCCTTTTCAGGAAGAAGGAGAAAGAGGAAGAGGAGGGCGGGGGGAGAAGAGAAAAATGAAAACTTGACATGTTCTTTTGAAGTAGCTTTTGCTTTTGTGCCACAAGGTTTTGGAATGAAATTGTTTCCTTTCCATTTTCTACCTTATAATTTGAGTTTTGATTTCTTCTTCATCCCTTCTTTATTTTCAAATAGTAAAAAAAATTGGATTTCACTTTATGTTTATTCTTAACGTTACTAGATTATTCTTAAAAGTCTCTGCATTTATTTAAAAAAAAGAATATTGGGTGTTTGTGTAACCCACAATATAATCAATTTTCTATAAATAAACTTCAAAATTTATTTTCTCTGTTTCAAAGAAACAGAGATCTATATCCATCATATCAACTTTATTAATTGCATTATGTAATTACTATGCCTCCATACTTTGTTTCTTGTTTTACCTGTTTAACTCTGAAAGAGATGAACTGAAGTCTCCCAATATAGTTTAATTTTTGTTAAATTTTTATTATATTCTCCTGAGATTTCCAGTAGTTTTTACTTTATAAATTAGTCACTTTCTTCTTTGGCACATACATAGTGCACCAAAGATGCTGTTTTCATATATTGTGCTTTTATTATTACATAAGGTATAAGGGCCTCAGCTTATTGTTTCTAATCCTACATTTTAGTTTCTCTGATATCAATCACGCCAATCCCTCTTCTTTTGTTTCATTGGTCTGGCAGCTCTTTCCCCACTCTTTAATTTTCAAGATTTCTTTATTGCTTTAATTATATTTCTTATAAACACTATATAGTTAAGTGCTATTTTTTAACTCAGTCTAACAATCTCTGTATTTTAATGGAAAATTCAACCTATATAAATTTAGTATAATGATACTTGATTTCAATATTTTTATGATTTATTTTATATTTGTTCTTTTTCATTTTCCTTATTTTTTCATATTAATCCATTTCCTCTTTTATTTGGAAGTCTTATGATATATTGTAGTCAGTTCATCATTAACTCTTCTATCACGATTATGCTTGAAGGTAATAACAAATCACACCAGTATCCTAAAGAAAATAGTGTAGTGAGTGTGCAACTGTGTGTGTCTGTACTGTGCTACACTTGAATGTCCGCAAGTGTTTGTATTATTTTTCTTAGCAAATCGCTCCTTGTATCCTCTAGCAGCTCTGTGCATTCTGTTTATTTTACAGCTGGTTACTAAAAGAGTTGGATTTAGCAGGGTTAGCAAACAGGAAACACCTTTATGTTTTCCAATAATTTTTCTCACTGTTAATCCTACAGAATGACTCCATTTACTTCTTCCTCCCCAACCCTGAATGAGATCTCTGGCAATTTTCTTTCATTCTTTTTTTTTTTTTTTTAAGATTTTATTCATCCATTTGACAGACAGAGATTACAAGTAGGCAAAGAGGCAGACAGAGAAAGGGGGAAGCAGGCTCCCCACTGAGCAGAGAGCCAGATGCGGGGCTCCATCCCAGGACCCTGAGACCGCTCTGGCAATTTTCATAATTTTGCTTTTTTCTCTGTTACAGTCCTGCCTGGCTGGCACTGGCTGCTGCAGGGCCCCTTTATTTATTTTAAAAATTATGTTCAGTGGGGCGCCTAGGTGGCTCAGTGGGTTAAAGCCTCTGCCTTTGGCTCAGGTCATGATCCCAGGGTCCTGCAATCGAGCCCCGCATCGGGCTCTCTGCTTGGAGGGGAGCCTGCTTCCCCCTCTCTCTCTGCCTGCCTCTCTGCTTACCTGTGATCTCTATCAAAAAAAAAAATTAAATAAAAAATTAAAAAATAAAATTATGTTCAGTAACCACTGTATAGTACACTGTTATTTTTTGACATAGTTCAATGATTCATTAGTTGAGTATAACACCCACTGCTTGCAGGACCCCTTCACATGGGTTGCTATTTTCTTAGTTGTCTCCGAGAAGCACAGGAGTGTTTACGGCAGTATCTAGTGAACGCAGTACCGCGAAAATAAAGTCTTACCCACTATGGAGTGGAGCTAGAGAAACAAGCAGACCACAGTCATCTGGTGAGGCTTCTGAGGGAAAATTCACGGATCTCTGACTTCCCAGTTTTCTCACAGGCTTAGTATTTCCTTCCTGGCCTCTTGGGACTAATGGGACCAGAAACACTTACATAGGACCAAAGACAATATTCCCCTCGGGTAATGCAGAGCTCCCAACAGCCAGCTGGTCTCAGGACCCAGCACACCCTCCATCACTGCCTTGTGACAGAGTCCGGTCTCCAGGGCCATACTGGGATCTCAGCATCAGAAGGGAAACCATGTCTATCCTTGCACCCCACTGCCTGACCATCTCAGCAGCTGTTTGGCTTAAAAGATGACAGATGGAAGCTGAGAGTAGAGAGAAAGGTGCTGTGCGTAGGTCACTACCTTCCCAGAACTCACTGCTCCCAGATGTCTAGCTGTTTTAATGGAGAATTCTCAGCCAAATGGAATTTTTAAGTTGATTTAATGCCTTCCTAAAAGATAAAGCTCCCAAGTTCCAGCAGAAACTTCCAAAAACAACAAATACAGAAATCCTTAGTTCTAATTTGCATCTACTTGGGGCTAAAGTTTGAATACTGTAGTTAGGTGCAGTATTTAATTTAGAAAAGATGGTGTAAGAGACCTTGGGGGGCATCTTTTAAGAAGTTAGGAGCAGGGGAAAGGGTGGAAATAGGAAAGGAATTTTTAATGAATGTTTGCTACACTCAAATACTCAGGGACTCCACATTATTTTTTTAACACTGATAAATAATAATACCACAATAAGGTATTGTTCCGATATTTTTAGGTACATTTTCTATTTCTTGTTATTTTTATTGTTGATAGTTTTTTAAAAAGAGTTTGCATTTTATTTTCTGAGCCAGCAGTGTAGTTAGGGAAACTATTTTGCTTTGCACTGAGCCGGGGAGGAGGGAAAAGCGGGATGGGGTGGGAGTGGGGGGTGGTGAGAAGACTGGATGACACCAAGCCAAGAGAACAAGAGGATCAGCCCCTGCTTGCTGGAAAAGAGAAAGATGACTTCATAACTTTGAGCTGCTGCTGCTTCTCCTCCAGTAACCAGAAGAAAGGTGTAAAGAGCCAGGAAAGCTTGTATGTTCCTCCTCTACCTCCTCTGTACCTGAGCCCATCATCTTACCTTAAAGACTTTTACCTTTGCTCTTCCCTCATTAAGAGTTTCCAATTGCAGCCCTCTTCCCCAACCCCTCCCCCATCCACATGTTCTCCTATGGTGATTCTGTTTTAGAGCCAAAACCTAACCCTCCTTGGGAAGAGGTGCGCAAGAGGAGCCTTGGCACACGGCAAAGAAAATCGGAAGCGGAAACAGGAACTTGAACAAATTTATGTCCTCACCTTTGCCAAAGTTGCCAAAGTTGCCAAAGACCCCCAAAGGCTTCCCCTAACATAAATGCTTCTAATTAAAACTACTTCTCCTCACATATTAAGAGTTCAGATTTTTAAAAAATCTTTTAAATAAATGGATTAAAAATTAACTTTTGAAATCCAACTTGTGTCTAACTTGAGTTCTGCCTTTATACTGTTTGGGTGAATGAGAAACAGTAAAATAGCAATATAATAATATACATGATGTTCAATTCTTTATAGGACTTGCTATCAATTTTTTTAGCTTATTAAGGATAAGTTATTTTTTTAAATTATTTAACAGTTCTGAAAAAAGTCAAAGTTATACTTGGAAAAGGCATTCTATAGCAATGAAGTTCCAGTATCTACTAACAAAAAGCTATTTTAAATTTTACTGTTTTTTTAATTGCATGAATTGCTAATGTAATACTATTTTCCAATGATTATCCAAAATGCTGATATATAATTAATTCCACATGCATCAAGTTAATGGTACATTTGTCTTATCTGATACCCAATTATTAAGAAAGGTTATTGGTGTTATTTGTCTTCAAACAGCCAATTTCCAGAAACAGACTGTGTCATTCTTGGTCCCAAATGAGACTTGACCATAGAAATGCTGACGATTGAGGAATCTAATTTAGATCATAAAAATTCAGTTTCTCTTGTTGATAATTATTTCCTAATTTTGTCCTTTTATTTACTAAAAATGTTGGCTGTTCTTGAACAGAAGACTGTTGGCTTGTAGTTCCAATGTCAATGTTTTGCTTTCTTACACCATCCGTTCAAACATTATTTTGGTAAGCATTTCATCTATGGTCTTGGAACTTCATTATTTGCTTTTTGTTACTTAAATATTGCTCTATATAATATATTTTGAGGTGTCTAATTTTCATTTCACTGGTTTAACAAATCATCCATTGGTGTTACATTATTTAATTTATGGACTTCGAGTATATTTTTTAAAGGCTTTGAGCGATGTTTGACAGGTGAGGCACTGAATTTGCTCCTTGGTTTTGTTGTAGAAAACATTCTTTCAAAGTTGCCATGTCTAGCACTCATTTCTTGAATAACACTTCTATCAAAGAAGCCAACAAATTTTTTTGTTAGGCTGGAAAAAGTCTGTGAGAAATTATAGAGTTTACTCCAGGATATGTTTTCAAGTGTCTGCTTATTAGTTTTCTTCCTTAGTTTACCCTCTACAACTCTACGGCCCACTTCAAAAGATATTGCTTGTATATCTCTTTTCCATGTTGTAGGCATAATTCTTTTAGGTTTAGAAGATATAATAAATTGATCACTAATTAAAGATTTGAGGATTTCATAATTTCTTTCTAAAACAAAATCTGCTCTCTTATATGGGTAAATGTTCTCTTTTTCCATACGATGGAGAGGAAGCCTATTTTTCGTCAAAAGTAACATTTGTACATATCCAGTTTCATGGAAAATTATGGGATTTGTGTCATTTTGTTCCTGTGGATTAAAGAAAAGAGTACTTAGTCTTGCTAGTGCAACAAAAAGGCTATATATATTTTTAAACATGAGAATAAAATGGTAAAATATTCTAAAAATGATTACAGAGATTTTTTTAACATGAACAAGAATGGTACTGAAAAACACAAAAAAGATGTATTTGTATATGACATACTTCCTTCTCTTAATATTCTGTTGAGATGTTAGGGGTAAAATCTGAACTTCTGGCCGCCTACAATCTTTTTTTAATAAAGTGAGATATGAACAAATCAACACATTTCTTAGATGTGTGAGATGTTGTCACTGGAAAATAGGATAGTTGGTGGGATGAAACATTTTTCTGGTATTTCTTTTCTTTTCTTTCTTTCTTTTTTTTTTTTTGTTCTGGCATTTCCTAGGTTCCCATGTTCAGAAATAAGAAGCATACCAAAAAAATGAATTGAGCCAAAGATCTTAAGGGACATAACTAATTATAACCAAAATTATAAAGTCTGGATATCCTAATAATTCCAAGAATATAAAAATTATCTTTATAATATTATATTTATTCTAGTACTCCAACCCTTACTTAGCACATAAAAAGCACTCTATATTTATAGAATAAAATAGCCAGAGTAATAGGCTGACTTAAAAAAAATAGACTATTTTTTCACAGTGATAGCAACTCTTTCCCATATTTCCATTATAGGGCAAAAAGATTAACTCCAAAGAAGCTGGTCAAATATTCCTATTACCAGTGTTTACTTTGCAAACTTTAAGTCAATGATTACTACTTTTCCTTTAGAAATATAATTAATGAAGTAAGAAACCAGGATCATCTAACTGTACATCAGTATACTTAGTGAGAAAGATATATTGTTGTCTATAATTACTAAAAGGATGATGAAAGGTCTAGTTTTGCAATCCACTGGGATGTCAATGTCACCTATTTAACCTCGGTAGTAGAGATTTGTCATTTTTTTGGTCTGTCCAACGCCTCTGGAAATTTTCTTCGTTACAAATCTATGTACTCTTTCACAGAGGCAGAAACTAGCTTTATTAGCTTCCCTTGAGTTTAGGGCATAGGCATGTGACTTAGACTCTGCCAATCAGATACACCTGAGATAGTCTTCAGTTCAGAGAAAGCAAGCACTGGGAAAAGTTGGCTATTGTGAAAACCACTCTAGTGAGAATGGTAGCAGATATATCTGCTTTGAAGAGCAAGAGTGGCAAAGATCTTAGAAATAGTATCTCCTGCCCAGAATCAAAGTCATTAATTCCATAACAAAAGCATGGGTCCCAGTGGAGCAGTCTGGGGTTGTACCTGGGTGACTCCTGACTGTATAGCTTTCAAGCCAGATTGTCTCTCCAGCCTTCCTAGAGATTCTGTGAGCTATCAAATATCCTTCAATGCATGTATTTTCTGGTTCAAATAGCTAAAATAGACTGTTAGAAAAGTGAAATATAATGAAGTCACTTTAAAAATACCATTTTTCTTTTATAATCAAAAAAATTGATAAAGCCTTCTTCATAAAGAAAAACACAAAACTTATAGTTGATGCAAAGGAATTCCCACTTTTGGGGTGGCAGTTCTAAAAAGAGCATTAAGAATCTAAGTATTGTTACTTTGCAATGAGAAACTCAAACGTTAAAAGGATTTATCAAAGATTCCAGTCACTAGAATTTAAGATTCCTACAAGTAGTAATTATACACATATTTACTGAACAATAGTAGATATTATTACCACATGAGAAGTTACTGTCTTTGGTGGACTAGTGTTGATTATCTTGGCATTTGGCTTTTTCAACTCATCCTCAAAGCACAAGGGAAGCAAGCTTTTCTTTCTTATAGAACAGTATTCACTTAATTGATGATTTTTGATGGTTTTGTTTTCTTCTGTGCTAAAATCATCCATCTGTGGGGCAGATTTTCTTCTGAAAATGAACACAATTTCAGCATACATAATGATAGAGTTGATTTCAGTTTGTCAGTTCTTGTCTCCCTGATCCCTCAGGGTCACTGCCAGCATTTACCCCAAATCCTCAGCCATACACTTTCAACATGATAAGACAATTCCTTCCAGCCTTGTAGGAGGGAAATAGTAAAAGCAGGGCTGGAAGCGATACAGGAATATATATATGCTTCTTTGATTTTTGAGTGTGGAGGAGGTATATTGTGTAGAGTGAGTATTATACAAAAGTAGAGAGATATTTGCCATATCCTTTGTTGAGATTCGGGGAAAAAGTGCTTTGCAAGGCAGCTTCCTGACAACATAGGGTGGCCCCAGCTTTGTTAACAGAATGCAATGGTATGGTATGATTATAGGCAGAAAGAAGATAGAGTTTTCATTACAGATTTCCTTTGGTTCACATAGGACATGGACACTGGCTTACCAAGGTGGTTGCCATTTGAGGGGTGAGGAAGCCTATGTCAAAAGCCTGGCATGAGTGAGGTATGGGTAGTCTAGGGGAAGATGAAGGTCATGATGGGAGGCTTAGAGGGTTCTACCACACTAATGAGCGTTGAGAGTGGACCCAATCCAAGTTCAGAGAGAACAGACCATATATTCATGAACCACAGATGTCAGCAGCCACAGAACACCTCGAAATGAGACCAGCAATACAAAGGCATTAACCAAGATACTGACTCAAGTACCTTTTCCTCAATGTCACAAAGTCCAGTGAACATCTTGTTCATATACTTAGATACCATCTTAGAAAGAAACGGAAGGACTGAGATAAACTTAGAGAGGCTGTGCATTATTGCTCCAAAGTGTAAAACATGCAAGGTTAACAAGATTTTACTCTGAGGATCTAATGAGAAAGATCAGTACTTTATATAAGACTACAAAGCTACTTTTCTTACATCCATATTGTAGTGTATTTAAACTTGTCTCTACTAGAAAAACACAGTTGTATTCTCTCCTTTCATTTTTGCATGTTCCTCTTTCCATTTGCCTGTGAACTTGAAATGGATAGAGTGTGAGTTCAAGGTATGAATGTGCTGCTGACTAGTAGAGCACTCTTAGACCAGTCACTGGCTTGCAGTGTAGGCCTAAATCTTAATACTGTGCCTGAATAAATGCATTCTGGTCTACTAAAAAAGAAAAGGCAGAACTCTTCCTATAAGAAACATCATTGAACACAATAAAATATAAAAATGTTAAAATAAATTACCTTTTACTGACATAATCTTCTGAGTGACCAGCCAGATCAAATGATTCCCCAGGATTTTTTTCAGTTTGAGCTGAAATTATAAAAGATTTTCATAAAAGACACATACATATCATGGCATTTAGAAAATATCTTGTATAAAATATTTTACAATGTAAAATAATATTGGAAAGGACTTGGTATAGGGTTTGATCTGCAGTAGCTACTCAGTAAGAACTTTTTTTTTTTTTTTTTTTTTTTTTTTATATAAGAACTTAAATGAACCAGACAGAACTGGAAAAGACTGAGGTCAAGGATCTAATGTTTGGCTTAGACAAATCAAACATAAAACTGGTCTTAGAGATTTTTGTGGAAGAAAGACATTCCCAAATTTTTAAATCTTTCCAAGATGCAAAGTCATTATTAGCCAGTAGGAAGCCTCAGATGGTTAAACACTATTGGCAAAGAGGGAGGTTAATTAGCAGAGGTCAAGCAGATCTTGCCATCTGGCATGAAGGAGATGTCCAGGGTTGAACTCTTCCAAATATGCTTAGCGGACACTCTAGCATTTCTCTAGTTTCTTAGAAGTGTTCCCAGACATATATGCTATTAGCAGTAAATTCAACTTTTCTCTTGTCCTCGAGTAGTTTGTATTCTAGTTCAGTGTTTCCCAACATTTTCCACAGCATGGCAAACATTTAATTTTTTTATTTTTATTTAAAGATTTTATTTATTTATTTGAGATGGAGAGAGAGTGTGTGTGTGCAGAGGCCAGAAAAGAAGGAGAGGGATAAAGAGGGAGAAGCAGACTCCCTACTGAGCAGGGAGCCCTACTTGATATGGGACTCAATCCCAGGACCTCAAGATCCTGACCTGAGCTGAAGTCAGATGCTCAACTGTCTGAGCCACCCAGGTGCCCCCATGGCAAACATTTTAATTAATATTCTTTATACAGTACACTGGGATAAACACTTGAGTACACTTTGTGGCCAGACTGACATAAGGCCAACACAGCAGTCTTGAAGGCTGAAGGATCAATATTTCAGTATAACAGGTTACCACAGAAGCCCTATTCCAACACAAGTCAACAAGCAAGCAAATAAAGCAACAAATAAATACATAAAATAATTCCAACCAATTGTAAGTATTATGAAAATAAATAAACATGGCACCTCACCTATGGTGGCTATAGAGGCCTCTCTTGGGAGGAGATATTTGAGTTCAAGTCTGAGAAAAGAGGCAACAGGTGAAGCCTTTTCCCAAGTCTGGGAAAACAGACTACTAGGCAGAGGAAACAGCAAGCATGAAGATCGCAGCGTGAAATCAGTTGGGAACGGTGAAGGAACTGAAAGGCCAATATTGCTGGAGTGTAGTGAATGAGGGGGAGAGTGGAGAAAGATGAGATGAGATAGGTAGCAGGGGCCAAATCATATAGAGGCACATAAGCCATACAGAAAACTTAGGACATTAATCTGGTTATAACAGAGATCATTTAGAGGGTTTTAAGCAGAGTAAGAAAGAAGTTTGATTTATGCTTTAGGAACATCATTCTGCCTGCTCTGAGATGGACAGTCTGGAGGCATGGAGGAATGTGGATAGCAATAGTAGCAATGGAGTGACCGGTTAGAAGGCTATTGCTGTGGTCTAGATGAGACATGTTGGTGGATTAGACAAGGACTGTAGCAGAGGGAATCTGGGTAATGGCCAGCTTCACGTTATATTTTGGAGGTTGATCCAACTATACTGACTCATGGATGGATATGGAAAATAGAGAAATCAAGAATGATTCCTAGGTTTTAGCCTCAGCTAAAACCATTTACAGAAATGGGAAGGGCAAGTAGGAGAGACAGGTCCACTGATAGAAATAAGGGGCTGGGTTGAGGTTCCCTGGCTTGTGAAAAATCACTTCTTCCGAGGGCCAACTCAGTAACCAGGAACTAAGTTAAACCACTTCAGCGCATAATAACTGGATCTGCCATATCCCTAGTATTTCCCTGGCAGGGGAGTTCCATTCACAACTCTAAAATCTGGGTCAGCCTGAGGGCCATGAAGTCTGAGTGGCAGCAACTGCAAAAGTTCTGAAAGGAAGGAGTAAGGTAAAGTGAGTAATTGGAAGCAAAGAGAGAAACTTCTAAAATTTTAAAACACATGGAAAATAATAAAGCTAAGAAAGTCAACAAAGTTAACAAGTAGAAGATAAATTCTGTAATAAAATTAAATAGAAGAATCTAAAAACAACTTTAAAATTCTAAGGTGTATATTAGCATCATGTCATAGTTCGACAGTGTCAATTGTTGACATCTTAGATTTGACAAAATGTGGTATGTTTAGGAACTTTAAAAATATGAATGAAAAATATTCAGATTAAAAAAACAAGATATTGTGAGATGAAAACAGGCTGAAGAAGGAAAAATTCAATATAAAAAGAACTTGGAAATCTTGAAAATAAATAATATAACTCTAGATTACATAACAAAAGTGAGAATTAATGGGCTGGAAGAAAACACCAAGGAATTCACTAAGAATGCACAGAAAGAAGCACAGAATTTGATAAATTATGTTATATGTTTAACTATCATTGACTTTAAAACTAACCCTATTTTGTATTTTAAATGAAGCATTAATATTTATTGCATTTATACAACTCTTTTCCCAGGTTGTTTTAGATTATTATTTAATAATCTCCAGATCATTTTAGATATAGTAGATTATTTTTTAAAGATTTTATTTAGAGGGGTGCCTGGGTGGCTCAGTGGGTTAAGCCTCTGCCTTCGGCTCAGGTCATGATCTCAGGGTCCTGGGATCGAGCCCCACATCGGGCTCTCTGCTCAGCAGGGAGCCTGCTTCCCTTCCTCTCTCTCTGCCTGCCTCTCTGCCTACTTGTGATCTCTGTCAAATAAATAAATAAAATCTTTTTTTTTAAAAACGATTCTATTTAGAGAAAGAGCGTGCACAAGAGTGCAAGCGGGGAGGTGGGGCACTGGCAGAAGGAGAGAGAGAGAACGTCAAGCAGAGTCTGTGCTGAGTGCAGAGTCCTACACAGGGCTGGATCCTATGACCCCGAGATCATGATCTGAGGCAAAACCAAGAGTTGGACACTTAACCAACTGAGCCACCCAGGCACCCCTAGATTATCTTATTTTTGGTGTTTTAGACTTTGGCAGTGTTAGTCTCTTGCTTCCTTTTTTAACCTAACTTATGGAAGTGTAATTTGCATACAATTAAAAGTATGCATTTTACATGTATATTTTGATGAATTCTGACAAATATAATCATGTAAGCATCAACAAAATCAAGATATTGAGAACTTCCATTATTTCAAGATAGTTTTCCTATGCTCTTTTTCAGCAAACTTATTCCCTTTGTTCTGTTTTCTCTTTCAAACACACTGGTTATTTCAGGTTTGGATACCTGTTTTGTTCCCTCAGTATACTATCTTTTCTAATCCAGTCATAGTTCTGTCCCTTCACATTGTATTCTATGTGATTTTCCTAAACCTGTCCTTCAGATCTTTGATTTGGTTTACTCCAATGTTTATTCTACTCTTCACTCTTTTAACATAATTTTAGGTTGTGAATTACCTTAAATATATTTTTAGCTCTGACAGCACCATTTCATTTTTGGCAATTATCTTTTATATCTTCGAATCTTGTTTCACAGAATCCTCACATTCTTTAATCTCTTGAGCATATAAAACAAGTATTCTCTAAATTTCCTGCTGTTTCATGGGGTACAATTTCCGTCAGAATGTGACCATTAGCTCTCTTTTAAATTATCTCCTTTATTTGCTACAGGATATTTTAAGAATCCCATGTTCTTGTTTTTCCATCTACTCACTTTTGAATCAGGACACTTAAAACCAGGCTTGGTACTAGTCTAAAAATAATAGAGGGAAATTTTTGGACACTCTCCTTGTTTATCTGGATACTGTTAAATTCTCACCTTAGAAATTAATAGGCAAATCCTGGTGTTACCTTATGTTATGAGTTCAGGCATTCAGCTGCTTAAGAAAGCTGGCAAGGGAGCTGGAGCCCTGAATCATTATGGGGAAATTTGTTTCTGTGAACTGTATGTTCTGTGAAACCTCTTCATGACGCTGATTTGGTGGTGATGGTGGTGGATACTCTGTCCATCTATGTGTGAAGTGCCACATGGGTTAGAGTTCTTCACCTCTGTCTTGGAGTAAGCAATTCAGTTTGAGGAGGCATTTAGTCAAAGAAAGGCCTCATAGCTCTTGGGCTGTTTTATGGGGTCATACGTTTTTTCTTTACACATTTATCCTTGTGGCTATTACTCATACTTGCAAAGATGATTCCTAGGAAATTGTATCTTATCTCTTCTGTTGTCAACCCTCCTTTCAAGACCTTGCTTATCTAAGTTAGGAGGTTTTCCCTCTAACTGAGTACATTCAAAGCAATACTAGGAATCCAAAGAAAGAAAGGGCTAGGTATGATCATTACATTTCTCTCAAAACACTGCTAATACAGATTTAGACTATTTGCAAAGAGGAAAGTGAGACCTAAGGGGAGATTTTTCCATCTTTCTTTGACCCATCATTAATAACAAGCCCCTTTCCTTTGAGCATGTCTGCTGGTGGGATTAATAGAAGTATTTTCAGAATATCTTCTACCGGCTTTTTAAATACTCTTCTTTTAGGGAATGGAATTGTGAATCAAATTCTGGAATCTTCTTTCAAACTACTTCATTTTGTCATATGTAGCAGATTTTCTTTGAGTTTAGGTTAAAAATGTCTTGGTTTCAATTTAATGAATTTTTCTTCTTTTTGTTATTCACTTTGGCCAGGATAAATTTGTATTTATGTTGCCAAATTTCCCAGATGTCTTAATTTGGGACTTTGGTAAAAGAACTATAATGCTTCTTCAGTAGAGAGACTCAACAAATTTTATAAAGGGAAATTTGCTTTGCTGAATGAGTAGAACAGCCCGCTATTAGGAAACACTGCAGATAGGAATAATGTGGTAAAAAGAGGGTTGCTTACTCAACAGTCCCCTTTCCCCCTTTTATGCTAATAGAACTCTGATTCTATTTACCTTTCTCCAAACAACCAAGTCTTTAGTGTCTTTCACGGGAGGCTGGGCTCCTTCCTAACTCAAGGAAGTGAAACTTTAAATGATTTCAGCCTGTGCTTTTCAAAATGTGAGCTATAACCTATCAGTTTAGGTACTAAATTAATTTAGCATCTTTTGACCAATATTTTAAAAAATTAAATAGAATAGAATACAATGTATTAGGTGTGTCCTTAGTCATAACTCCACAAAACACTAAAGTACTACAATCAAGTCCAGCTAACAGAGAAAAAGACAATTAGGATACCATGAAGCTGAATCTTATTATTTGTATTATATATAATATATGAAAATTATATATTATTTATTATATAAAATAATATTTATATATTATTTATTATTAATATATGACTCTATATATTATTATATATCTTATATGGACCATGTTAAAGGTTGGAAAACCTTACCTAAGCTGATAATGATTTATTGGTTTAGATATGGGTGCATTAAGCTATTCTAGCCAAGGAGACACCTGGGGAGGTCTGCTAGAGTGCTTTGAGGAGCATTTTCCTCATTTTACAAAGGGACCAAAAAGCTTTTCTCTTTTTCAGTGGATGTTGTTACCCATACAAGTTAACTTGAATAGTAGGCACCATACCATACAGTAGGTCTAGGAGGACAGGCTACGTTTTAAGAAACTTGAAGAAAGATGGAAGGACTGGATATATATCATCAAGCTCCTGACTTAACCAAGCCTGGAGCTGCCTTACTGATAGACTGCTTATTATTTGAGATTATAAATATCTTTGGGGTGCCTGGGTGGCTCAGGTGTCTGCCTTTGGCTCAGGTCATGATCACAGGGTCCTAGGATCCAGTCCTACATCAGACTCCCTGGCAGGGAGTCTCCTTCTTCCTCTCCCACTCCCTCTGCTTGTTCTCTCTCTCCCTCTCTCTCTGTTAAATAAATAAATAAAATCTTTAAAACAATAAATAAATAAATATCTTTGTTGTTTGAGCCATATAATCAGAATTTCTTTTAATTACAGATGTAAGTGTCCCAAATATTAAAGATGAATAAGAATCTATCAGGTGGATGCAAATATCATTCTCAATGGAGAAAAACAGAGCTTTTCCGCTAAGGTCAGGAACACAGCAGGGATGTGGATTATCACCACTGCTGTTCAACATAGTACTAGAAGTCGTAGCCTCAGCAATCAGACAACAAAAAGAAATTAAAGGCATCCAAATCAGCAAAGAAGAATTCAAACTATCATTCTTTGCAGATGATTTGATACTGTATGTGGAAAACCCAAAAGACTCCATTCCAAATCTACTAAAACTTGTACAGGAATTCAGTAAAGTGTCAGGATATAAAATCAATGCACAGAAATCAGTTGCATTTCTTTACACCAACAACAGGACAGAAGAAAGAGAAATTAAGGAGTCAATCCCATTTACAATTGCACCCAAAACCATAAGATACCTAGGAATAAACCTAACCAAAGAGGCAAAGAATCTATACTCAGAAAACTATAAAGTACTCATGAAAGAAATTGAGGAAGACACAAAGAAATGGAAAAACGTTCCAAGTTCATGGATTGGAAGAACAAATATTGTGAAAATGTCTATGCTACCTAAAGCAATCTACACGTTTAATGAAATCCCTATCAAAATCCCACCCATTTTTTTCAAAGAAATGGAACAAATAATCCTAAAATTTATATGGAACCAGAAAAGACCTCAAAGAGCCAGAGAAATATTGAGAAAGAAAGCCAAAGTTGGTGGAATCACAATTCCAGACTTCAAGCTCTATTACAAAGCTGTCATCATCAAGACAGTATGGTACTGGCACAAAAACAGACACATAGATCAATGGAACAGAATAGAGAGCCCAGAAATAGACCCTCAACTCTATGGTCAACTAATCTTTGACAAAGCAGGAAAGAATGTCCAATGGAAAAAAGACAGTCTCTTCAACAAATGGTGTTGGGAAAATTGGACAGCCACTTGCAGAAGAATGAAACTGGACCATCTCCTTACACCACACACAAAAATAGACTCAAAATGGATGAAGGACCTCAATGTGAGAAAGGAATCCATCAAAATCCTTGAGGAGAACACAGGTAGTAACCTCTTCGACCTCAGCCGCAGCAACTTCTTCCTAGAAACATTGCCAAAGGTAAGGGAAGCAAGGGCAAAAATGAACTATTGGGACTTCATCAAGATCAAAAGCTTTTGCACAGCAAAGGAAACAGTTAACAAAACCAAAAGACAACTGACAGAATGGGAGAAGATATTTGGAAACAACATATCAGATAAAGGGCTAGTATCCAAAATCTATAAAGAACTTATCAAACTCAACACCCAAAGAACAAATAACCAATCATGAAATGGGCAGAGGACATGAACAGACATTTCTGCAAAGGAGACATCCAGATGGCCAACAGACACATGAAAAAGTGCTCCACATCACTTGTCATCAGGGAAATACAAATCAAAACTAAAATGAGATACCACCTCACACCAGTCAGAATGGCTAAAATTAACAAGTCAGGAAATGACAGATGCTGGCAAGGATGAGGAGAAAGGGGAACCCTCCTACACTGTTGGTGGGAATGTAAGCCGGTGCAACCACTCTGGAAAACAGCATGGAGGTTCCTCAAAAAGTTGAAAATAGAGGTCCCCTATGACCCAACAATTGCACTACTGGGTATTTACCCTAAAGATACAAATGTAGTGATCCGAAGGGGCACGTGCACCCAAATGTTTATAGCAGCAATGTCCACAACAGCCAAACCATGGAAAGAAGCTAGATGTCCAAAAACAGATGAATGGATAAAGAAGAGGTGGTGTATATATATATATATATATATATATATATATATATAAAGAAATACTATGCAGCCGTCAAAAGAAATGAAATCTTGCCATTTGCAATGACGTGGATGGAACTAGAGGGTATTATGCTCAGTGAAATAAATCAATCAGAGAAAGACAATTATCATATGATCTCCCTGATATGAGGAAGTTGAGAGGCAACATGGGGGTTTTGGGAGGTAGGGAAAGTATAAATAAAACAAGATGGGATTGGGAGGGAGACAAACCATAAGAGACTCTTAATCTTACAAAACAAACTGAAGGTTATCGGTGGAGGGGAGTAGGGAGAGGGTGGTGGGGTTATGGACATTGGGGAAGGTATGTGCTATGGGGAGTGCTGTGAAGTGTGTAAACCTGGCGATTCACAGACCTGTACCCCTGGGGCTAATAATACATTATATGTTAATAAAAAATTATTAAATTAAAATTTTAAAAAAGAATTTATCAGGTGGAGAAATATGTTCTGAGCATAGAGACCAGAATGGATCAAATTACACAGTATTCGGAACAGATCATGACTGGAATCAGTGAGGAAAAAGAGACAGAATCGAAGTCTGGAAAAATCTTATATACCATACTAAGGAATCTTGATTTTACCATTACATAAGATAGAGAAATAATGTGGTGATACGATCAGATACTGATATTCTTTGGTTAAAAATTTTCTTAATACTTATATCTTAAAGTTAGATGCAGTTAATTTTCAGCTATTTCCATATAAAAATGCAAAATATATACCTGCAAATAAAGTAGAGTCTTTTTCCTTCTTGTAAGCATTGGATTGAATCCTGGGTACAGGAGAAATGACTGTAGGACCCAGTGTTCTTCTACATGGTTGTGTATTCTGTGGATATAAGTCACGCAAAGGGTTAGCATTCTTCACCTAAACATCAGGGAAAATAGAAAACTACCTTAGAAATTATTCCTTTCCAGGTATATTGATAAATAATTTAAATTTAATTATTCACATTTGGCATATCTAATTATGAAAACTAACAGCTGTTTGGTTCTTTAAATACTTCCAAATATAATGTTCACTTAATCCTCAAAAACACCCCTATGATATGAATGTTAATAACTCTTGATAGAGGAGGAAACAAATCCACAGAAATTTAAAAATTGGACTATGTTCACACTTTTTGCTAACTTTCATTTTCTTTGTCTCCATTATATTCACATATAAAATTTATTTCTCCAAATACAAGGAAAGTGTGACGTTCAAATACTGAGCCAAAAAAGCCTTCTTAGTTTAAATGGAAACTTTACTCATACATAGAGTAGATGCAGCAGAATACTTCTGAGTAAAAGGGGAAAACAGGAACAAGTGATCTAGCCTTTCCTAGGTTAGTTTCTCAGATACTATGAGATGTCTAATATAGAGGGAGATTTTGGTGATCTACTCTATCCCTACAAAGATTATTGATGTTTTTATTTTAACAATTAACTTGGTCAGGTTCAAAATGCCCCTGTCTTTGGAGCAGCAGCTCAGATTTCAGTTCAGTTGTTATATCCTTAGCTGGGTTGCCTGCAATCTCCCTAAACATGCATGGTTCAGGGGTCAGTGAGAGACTTGGATAGGGGCTACCTACCATCTTTGGCTCTCTTCTATTAGTCCCCCTTCACTTTTTTTTTAACCTTTCCTTTCTTATTTTTTTATTTTTATTTTTTATATTGTGTAAGTCACCATAAAATACATATTAGTTTTTGATGCAGTGGTCCAAGTTTCATTGTAATGTACAATACCCAGTGCTCCATGCAATATGAGCCCTCCTTAATACCCATCACCAGACTCACCCATTCCCCCACAACCCTTCGCTCTAAAACCTTCAGTTTGCTTCTCGGAGTCCACAGTTTCTCATGGTTCATCTCCCCATACAGTTTCCCCCAATTCACTTTTCCTTTGCTTCTCCTAATGTCCTCCATGTCATTTCTTATGTTCCACAAGTAAGTGAAACCATATGGTAATTGACTTTCTCTGCTTGACTTATTTCACTCAGCGTAATCTCCTTCAGTCCCATCCATATTGATGCAAAAGTTGGGTATTCATCCTTTCTGATGGCTGAGTAAAAGCTTCAGTTGTCCTGAACATTGCTCTCTAGTTCTTCTGTCCAGAAAATTACATAAGTTTTCCATTGGAGTTTTAGATGCCCCATGCAGTGCTAATTTCATCCACCCTTCAAGCTAAAAGCCATAAAAATAGCAACTTTGCTCCAGGCAAGTCAGTTATTACAAGTTTCTACGCTTTTTCTTTGTCACCTTCTTTTGTTTACTCTTTAGGGTCTTCAGGTGACTTGTGCGTGCAGGCACACGTGTGTGTGTGTCTTGTGAGTATCTTGTCTAGAGTTTATAGTCATTGTCTGAGACAGGATGGTATAATAGGGACTTACTCAGCAATACTGCCTCAGAATTCTCCAGAGCTTTTACTACTTCCATTATCTTTTCCAGTTGCATTGCTCAGTACTTGCATTGAAACAATACAATATTATTTGTAAATAATAATAGTGACAAGTGTCACTCTTGCCATGCCATTGACTAATGTACTATCATTAATTATGAAATTGGTTATTGGTTTTATATAGGTATAATTTTTAAAATTATGTTGATATTCTTTATCATATTAAGCAAGTATTTTCTGTAGTCTTATCAATGATGGTTATCGAATTTATCAATTGCATTTGAATCTTTTGGTATTAAAATTGTTTTCTGATGAAACTCCAGGCTTAGAATTGGCAGATATTTAGGGTGAGAATGAAAATAAAAGTTGTAAAGAGGCAGGTTAACGGAAATTCTGTGGAATTTCTGAACCAGTTGTCATTTCCCCCATTTCCCACTTACCCTAGTCCACATACAAAGTTATAGGAAATTGTATTTAATTAATTCCAGGATAAAATAAGTGCTCTTCTGCTACTGAACTTACTGCTAATATGAGTTTGGTTCCCAGGATGAAACTCTCTACATTTTAGCATCTGAAGTACAGACTACCAGTCAAGCTACCTGCTCTCTGCCCTTCTATGCTAAAGTTAAGCTAGCTGGTTGAGAATTCTGGTGTATACACAGAAGAGTTGGTTCTCAATTCTAAAGAAATACTTATTTATAGAATTAATAGCAGTTTCATAAGAAGATTAACCCATATCTTCAGTCTTAAATATGAATAAATGAAGATTTATCATATATAATAAAAATCAGTAATTTCAGAAATATCCATCATGATAAACAAAGGGAGCACTAACAACAGAAAAGAGATGATAATTCAAGAAATAGAAAATAACTTAAGAAAATGAACTCTAATATCCTCAGAAAACATTGAGAACAAATATAATGGGAGACTATGAAAAGAAGAAAAAAACAATGAAGAACAAGAAAGAAATTTAAAATGTCATTACCGAACCAAAATGAAGTAAAAAGATCAGAATAAAGGGCAAATTTTCAGAGACAAGAAAAAAAAATAGAGAATAGCAATATAGAGGATCAGTCAAAGAAATCTATTATCTGACCATTAGAGAACAGAGAAAATAGTGGAAAGGAAACTGGAAAAGAAATGACAGAAAGACATTTTTGAGACCTAAAGAAAGACATTTGAATTTACGGTGGAGTTTATAGAACACTGAACAGAATGAATTGAAGTAAAATTACCACACTCAGACATATCCTTAGAACATTCCAAAACAACATTAATAAAGAGAAGATTCTAGAAGATTACAGAAAAAAAAAAATAAGATGATTTACAAAAGACTGAAACCTTTTCATTAGCACCATTGAATGACATAGGACAGTGGAGCAATGTCATCAAAGTTTAGGAAAAAAAATGATTTTAAACATATAATTCGACTCAGCTAAACTATCATTCATATACATGAGAAAAATAAGTAAATGACATTTCTAGTGAAGTTTCTTGAAGAAATATTCTAGGAAAATAAAGATGAAATCCAAGAAGGAATAAGACATGGAGTACTAGAATCTGGCAACTAAACCAGGAATGGAATGACCCAGTGACAACTCCAGAGCAGGCTTAAGAATAATGGATCAAATTTAGAACAAAAAGTCACTGAGCTCCAACGAACAATTCCTCCAAGAAGATTGGAATGGATTCTACTCAATAGAAAGAACAAATAAGGAAGCTTGACTGTATCCACATATAATGAGAAAGTTACATGTTTCTTTTTCAGAGGCTGCATATCTTAGAGGTAAAGAGCATGTATCAGACTGTTAGGTTCTTCCTAGCTCTGTTCTTTATAATTTGATCTCAGCCAAATTACTTATCTTCTTTGTGCCTCTTTCTTTCTCATCTATAAAATAGGAATAAAAATAGTACTTACTTCATTGAGTTGTTGGAGATGTAAATTATACACACACACACACATATACACACATACATATATATACACATATATATGCATTTATATACTACAGAAGTACTATAAGTACTATATGGATGTTTGCTATTATTATCATTCTCTACAAGAAAAAAAAAAGAAAGCCAACTAGAATATTCAGGAAAAAATACAAAAGTGTACAGGACAGTCAAATTCTCAGTGTGAGGCAGACTAACATATAGCATTGCTTTTTGAGTAACTGATGGAGAATAAGCAAAGGGAGCCTTTGTTTTTACATTTTACCCATTGAGAAGAACAGTAATCCTAGCACATTACTTTGTTCTACAATGAATGATTATTTACAATGTCACAGTAACATAGATATTATTTATAGTTTTGAGTTTTAGAATTAACCTATAGACAAAACATAAGGGCTCCATCAGAATTGCAAGTTGATACAATCATTGACCTCAATAATGTAAAAGTAAAGATATACTTGACTTGGGGAAGAAGGTGTGGAGGAGAGTGGGAGAAAAGAATGGGACTGCTAAAATCTTCATCTTATGTAAAGGGGGATAGCAGTTAATGACTAAAGTTGAAACAAAAGAAAAAATACTTAGATATTTTATAGGTGCAAAAGTTAACAGAGAAAGCAAAAAAGTAACTATCAAAAATAAGAAAATGGAAAGAAAGAAGAAAAAAGAAGAGAAAAAAAGAAGAAAAAATGGGGAGAAGTGAAGTGTAGAGCAGTGTAAATAAGCTAATTCAAATATGTTTTACTGATTATTCAGTAGATAATATTTAAAGTAGATAAATAAAAAAATAGTAGTAGAAGCTCATTCTTTAAAATTATGGAGTTAATCATAAGAGAAATTAAAAACTCCCTAAAAGTTAAACATGGTTACCTTTAAAAAGGGAAAATTAGAACAAAAAGTACAGGATGGAAGTGCTTTGTGTTCTTATTAGCTTTTCTGTATTATTTAATTTTTAATATTCATATGAATATTTCAATTTAATTTTTAAAAATTAAAATGTTACATTTTTCTAAAAGATGGTAATAAATTTATTATTATGAGTAAACTTATGATGTTACTATATATATATATATTTTTTTTTTTAAGATTTTATTTATTTATTTGTCAGGGACAGAGGGAGAGAGAGCAAGCGAGCACAGTCAGACAGAGAGGCAGGCAGAGGCAGAGGGAGAAGCAGGCTCCCTGCTGAGCAAGGAGCCTGATGTGGGACTCGATCCCAGGACGCTGGGATCATGACCTGAGCCGAAGGCAGCCGCCCAACCAACTGAGCCACCCAGGCGTCCCTGATGTTACAATATATATTTCTTGAAAGATTTTTTTTTTTAAATGTGAACCTAAATAAAACATGTAGTTGAGGATAAAATAGTCCAGACAATGGCTGCTGTAAATCTTCTTAAAAATTATAAAAGGTGGCAATATGCAACAGAAATTATAATGTCATTAATTATGATCCAAAGTATGTATTTCTTCATGTTTTATCCTCCATTTAGCAATAATCAGGGTTAAAAATAAATTAATTAATACCTAGGAAACTCTTTTAAATGACTTTCCTTGCTGATTCTCTAGTTAACTTCTCTTTCTAGTATCCTGGATAAAACTTAATGAATAATATCCAAGGCATGCACAATGCTCAAGGCTAGTCAACTACTTTTCAAGATGCCCTTGAACCTCTGCTCAAATGGTTATCAAGAGTCAATACTGTTGTCAAATCACATTGTGTATTACTCTTCAATACTTCAATTATACTTCAGTAAAAAAAAAGTCAGTATTATTGGTCCCAAACCTGTTTATGGTTAATTGTTACTGTAATTATATAATTTAAATAACCATAGCATGCTCCAAAAAAAATGATCTTGGCTATACATGAAAAGATTACAAATGGATTTGTATTTTCATATTTTAAATTAAAATTAAATATTTAATTATGCCTGTAGAGTTTTTTATGATGTCCTGTTTTAACTGACTTTATGATAACTATTATTCCTTATCATACTTGGTAAAAAATTTCTGCTGTATGGACTGTCAAGCAAATAATATATTATTTTCTGTATTATCTCTGTACATAAAGTTATAGTAATATCAAAGATGAAATCGCTTTAAAACTTTATATTTTTAATCCTAAAATACATTTGAATTTGGGACTTACAGAAGTATACATAAAATTGTCAGCGCTAATCTGAATTTCTACCAAGTAACTGTTAAGTGGACAAATTAAACCTACCTCAGCGGTATCCTTAAGATAAAGGAAAGGTCTAAATGATCTTGATTTCAGATTTTCTTTCACAGGCTCTAAAGAAACAAATACAAATACAAATGATATTTCCATACTATTTGACTACTTCTAACTATCAATAAACTATTTTCTCTATTTCTAGTAAACTTTTTAGTAATGTAATTTGATGAACTTAGGTGCTTGTGTTGCTTTACATTTATATTTTCAGAGCTAAATATATTCTATTTTGCTTTAAAAGTGAGTTTCTATTAACAGAATACTTTTTTAAAATTTCTTTTCAACGTAACAGTATTCATTGTTTTTGCACCACACCCAGTGCTCCATGCAATCCGTGCCCTCTCTAATACCCACCACCTGGTTCCCACAACCTCCCACCCCCTGCCCCTTCAAAACCCTCAGATTGTTTTTCAGAGCCCATAGTCTCTCATGGTTCACCTCCCCTTCCAATTTCCCTCAACTCCCTTCTCCTCTCCATCTCCCCTCAGAATACAACTTTTGATTATTTACTTCTGGTTATTTATCAGAAACTACGGGAGGTCAGAACTATGACCTCAGAACACACGACAAAGTACTATCTTCAGGGGAAAAAATGGATTTCTAAATAAAATGGAATCACAATAATTAAAGGAATCTTTTCACTCATTATTCCTTTGAAGAGAGAAGTATTCCCCTCAAACTGAATCCCCCCCTAAACTCTAATTATGTATTAATCTAGATTATCCTCTAATGGATTTAGTCAAGCATACAGATGGGTTGCATACAGACAGGTACAGACATTGGATTTAGATAGCCTGGGACCACACCCTACATTTTGTCTGTAAGTCCTGTAGCCTTGGGTTGAGTTATTTAACTTTGGTGAGGCTTAGTTTTCTCAGTTGTTAAGGGGAAATAATGGCACTTACCTTAAAGGAGTGCTGTGAGGATTAAAGGAGATAATAGATGTAACAAACTTAATAGTATCTGGCATTCATTCAATCAACAATTATTTATTGATCACTTATTATGTGCCAAGCACTGGTGTTGGACTCGCTTAGGACCCATCACCCCTTCTTTCTTTTCTATTTCTCCCTTTTGGAATGAGAATGCCTATCCTGTGCTTGTCTGAGCTTTGCATTTTGCAAGTATACATATTGTTGGTTCCAGAGGTTTACAGGTAGAGAGGAATTTTGCATCAAGAGGAATCATACCTTGAGTCTCATCCATGTCTGATTTACATAATATTTAGATAAAACTCTGGATTTTAACAATAACATAAAAAGTCAGATGTCAGTAAAATAACTGAAGTGTTCTAAGATCCTTTTTTTTTTGGTCCAGAATGAGGGTAATACTAGATTTTAAAAGACTAGATCGGGTAACTATTTACTATATGTTGGCTAACTGGACATAATAAAAAGATAATAGAATAAAAAAATTAAAAAAGAATAGAAATAGAGTATATAACTTCCAAATTAATAAATGGAAAAGTGAAACTTAAAAAATTCAATCCTAGAGAAAAACATGAGAAGATGGGGGAAAGTATAGAAATAAAAGAGCAAATAAAGAACAAAATAAGATGGCAAAATTAAATCCAAAGATATCAGCAATGACATTAAGTGCAAATGGACTAAGAGCTCCATTTCAAAGACAAAGATTACCTCAGTAGATTATTAAATTTAATAGTATGATATTTACAAGAGATAAATCTAGATTACAATGTTATAAGAGGGTATTAAAATGATGGGAAAAGATATACCATGTAATGGTAGCCAAAAGAAAGCTGGGGTAGCTACAGTAATATTAGATAATAGGACAATTACTTTATAATTAAGAAGGGTTCAATTCACTAGATACATAATAATTTTAAATTTTATGTAATCGATAACATCGCCTAAAGGATATTAAAAATCTATAAAGCAAAATTTGACACAAGGAAAAATGCAAGTCTGAAATTGCTCACAAATTATCAGAAGAGCAAACAGAAAAATCAATAAGGATATAAAAGAGTTGAAAAATACAGGCTACCAATTTGACTTAAAAGACATATTCAGGGGCACCTGGGTGGCTCAGTGGGTTAAGCCTCTGCCTTCAGCTCAGGTCATGATCTCAGGGTCCTGGGATTGAGCCCCGCATCGGCCTCTCTGCTCAGCAGGGAGCCTGCTTCCCCCTCCTCTCTCTCTCTCTGCCTGCCTCTCTGCCTACTTGTGATCTCTCTGTCAAATAAATAAATATTAAAAAAAAAAAAAAAAAAGACATATTCAGAACACTGTACTCAACTACTGTAGGATATACATTATTTTCAAGCACATACAGAGCATTTACAATTAACAATATAGTGAATGATAAACACACATTAACTAATTACATAGGACTGAAATCATATGGACTGTATCCTCAAACAACCATGTAATTGTGCTAAAAAGCTATAGTCAAAAGGATAATTAGAAAAACCTCCAATAGGGGCACCTGGGTGGCTCAGTCGTTGGGTGTCTGCCTTGGGCTCAGGTCAAGATCCCAGGGTCCTGGGATCAAGCCCTGCATTGGGCTCCCTGCTCAGTGGGAAGCCTGCTTCCCCCTCTCCCACTCCCCCTGCTTGTGTTCCCCTCTCTTGCTGTGCCTCTCTCTGCCAAATAATAAAATCTTAAAAAAAAAAAAAAAAAAGGAAAGAAGGAAAGGAAGGAAGAAAGAAAGAAAAGCCTCAAATAGGGACGCCTAGATGGCTCAGTCGGTTAAGCACCTGCTTTCAGCTTAGGTCATGATCCCCAAATCCTGGGATCGAGTCTCCCAATGGGCCCCCTGCTCAGCAGGGAGCCTCTTTCTCCCTTTGCCTGCTGCTCCCCCTGCTTGTGCTCACTCTCTCTGACAAATAAAAAAAAACTTAATAAAAAAAAAGATAAATCTCAAGTACTTTGAGTGGAGACATATACTTCTAAATAACTAATGGGTAAGAGAAAAAAATCATAATGGAAAATAGAAAATATCCATGATATTCTTGGAGAACAAAACTGGAAGACTTGCTCTACAAGATTCAAGGGTTATTTTAAGCTACATATATTAATGTGGTATGACATTAATGGTAAATAGACAAATAATGAAACAGAGAAAGAGTCCCCGAGCAAAGAGCCCAGAGAACTAGGGAAAGAATAGCCTTTTAAATTACATGCTGAGATATCTATATCCACATAAAAAAATTAAATTTGACCCTTACCTCACTCAAAATTTAATTCTGGGTAGAGTTTAGGCCTAAACATAAACAGAAGAACTAAAGTCTTTTCTAAGATAACTAGGAGAAGGTCTTCATGACCACAGAGTAGAGAAACATTTCTTAAGTATGGAACAAAAATACTTATCAAATGGGGGAAAGATCTGGTATATTTGACTTTATTAAAGTCAAAGAATTTCATCAAAAAGACACTGTAGAATGAAAAAAGGAGAGAGAGAAAAGAGAAGATATTCATGATACATAAAACCAACCAAAACCTAGTGACTAGAATATATAAAGAAATCAATGAGAAAAGGACAAAAACCTACTTTTAAAATGAGCTAAGGGGCACATGGGTGGCTCAGTTGGTTAAGTGTCTGATTCTAGCTCTGGTCATGAGCTCAGGATCCTGGGATCAAGCCCCACATCAAGCCCGGCTTTAGGCTCCATGCTCAGCAGGGAGTCTACTTCTTTCTCTCCCTCTGCCCCTCCCCCCGCTTATGCACACACACTCTCTTTCTCTCAAACAAATAAATAAAATTTTGGAAATAAAATGAGCTAAAGCTCAAATGATTTCTAAAAGTGTAAATTTAATTGATTCACAGTTATGAAGAAGTTCTCAAACTTAGTGGTAATCATGGAAATGCAAATTAAAACATAATCATATACTATTATGTGCACCAAAATAAAAATCGGATAATTCTGAATGTTAGCAAGAAAGCAGAACAAAAAGAACTCTCACAAATCTGATGGGAGTACAGATTGGTACAACTACTTTGGAAAGTTTGCCAGTATTTATTATAGTTGAAGATAAATATACTTGGCAATATAAATCCTGGATATACACTCTCAAGAAGTTTTAACACATATACAGCAGGATGCATAAACAAGAATGTTCATTCAGCATTGTAATGGCTGACAAACCAAAAACCCAAAATTTCAACAGTAGAATAGATATAATGTGATATACAGTTGATCCTTGAACGACCTAGGTTTGAACTACATGAGTCCATTTATCCATGGATTTTTTTGATACAGTACAGTACTATAAATGCATTTTCTCTTCCTTATGATTTTCTTAATAACATTTTTTCTTTAGCGTATTTTATTATAAGAATATAGCATATAATAATACATACACAAAATATGTGTTTATGTTATTAGAAAGGCTTCTGGTCAACAGTAGGCTATTAAGTTTTGGGGGAATCAAAAGTTATATGCAGATTTTTGACTGTGCAATGGAGTCAGTGCCTCTAACCCCCATGTTGTTCAAGGGTCAGTTGTACACTATTTTAATGATAGAAAAGATAAATTAAGAGGAGAGACTGAAGAGTGGTAGAGCAGAAAAACAAGATATATGGGTTCCAAAATCCCAAAGAGGAGAGTTTTAAGGAAGAGGGAGTGATCAACCAACCATATTTATGTTGAAAAGTGGAAGAAAATGAAAGCAGAGAAATATTATTTGTACTTAGCAATGGAGATCTTTGGTACTCTTCATCAGAGTAGCTTCAGTAGAATGGTGGAATCAAAAACCAGACTGAAGTTGTCTGAAGTTTGAAGAAAAGCTGAGGAAGTAGAGACAGTGTATGCAAACAAATCCTTTGAGAATTTAGATGATTAAGTGTTTCAGAGAAATGAGGCAGTATAAGGCAATATGGAGTCAAGGAGCCTCAGTCCAAGGGGTCAATGAGAATGATTCTTTGAATCCTTGAATTGAATGGTTCTTTGATAATCCCAGAGAAAGAAAAACAAAGGCAACACAAAACTCAAATTCCCTGAAGACCTGCAGCATTAGTTCCTAGCTTACAGATTCCTTAAATTTCAAAGAAAGATCCTTTACTTTATAGTTTCTATAAAATAAGTTTTTATTAAGCAAGATGTCCATACTTGATTTCTTTTTTTAACAGTAACAAGAAAACTCTAAGGGTTGACCTGAAAGGAAACTTAGATATTTTCTTTCTAGAAAAATAAACATTAAAATATATTCTTAATCTGTGACTTGTATAAATTGCCCATTCCAGTATTAAACATCGCTTCCTCTTAGGAAATCCTCCTTTTTGGCTCACTGAAATCTCTCATGCTGTGGTTATGAGCCCTATACTTTCAACCAATTTCTTTCAACAGAGACATCAAATTATCAAGAACTTTTAAGACACACATTAATAAATAACAAAGTATATAATAAAAGCACTCATTAATAAACTAAAGGAGAAGTAAATATGTTACACAGAGCATTACCTATTGACTTGCTTTCTTGATTTTTTATATTTGTTGGTATAAAGTGTGATCTTAAATTTAACTTTTCAAAATCACTCTTTCTAGGATCAGGTTCATTTTTGAAGAAGACATACCTAGAAAAAATAAAATTAATCTAAATTAAAACAATCAGAAAAATCTATGAAACTAATCTAAAAAAATAAATTTGGAGAAATGTGGTTAAGTCCCAGTAATATAGATTAGATGTCATTGTATTAATAATACTACAATACAAAATGTAAAAGGATGGGACTAACTTGGGAGATAAAAATATTGGTGATAATCACTTGAAGTACCGACAGATAGGAAACTGTTGTTGTCATAGGATTGGGGGAACTGTAGAAAACTATATTTCATAAGCTGATTAACCTTTTAAAAATATGCTAGAAATTCTTTAAATGAGATACTGGAGACATTGTCAGACCTGAGTTAAAGTCATGAGACACAGAGTTATGGTCAGTTCAGACACCAGAATAGTAGACCAGATAGGATGACAGCACTTATTTATTGTAAAGGACATTTTCTCCACTAAATCCTTTAACTGGCTATTGATGGTATGTAATAAAGTTAAAAAGTAATATGTGATAATAAAATATTACATAATTCATATTTCAGACCACTAAATGCTGTGAGTCAGTCATTCAACCTCAGAAACTCACCTTCAGTTGATATCTAATCTCACATCTTTACATATTACCTATAGACTGATGTCTCCCAGGTTTATAATTATAATTTATAATTTATAATCTCTCAAACTCTTCCCTGAGCTTCAGATTTATATATCCAACTGCTACATGACTTCTGCCGTTAGGTATATTATAGGCATCTCAAACTTAACACATTGAAAACCAAATCCTTGCTTTTGCTTCCTTCCCAATCTGATCCTCTTTGAGGCTTCCCCAGCTCCATTCAACCAGAAGCTTAGGCCAAAAACTTGACAATATATTTGATTTCTCTTTCTCTCACTTCCCATTCCCAACTGCTGAGAAGTCTCACTGGATCTTTCTTTGAAACACATCCCAAATTCAACTACTACTTTCCTCATTACTTCTACCCTAGTCCAAGACACCTTCACCTCCCATCCAAGCTACTTCCATGTGTCTCTTGCCTTCTGTTGGCTCTCTCTGCTATCACTCATCCCCTACAGTCTATTCCCAGTGCAACTATGGTGGCATCCATAAAATATGAATGTGAATGATAGTTCTCTCCCATTGTTTCCTACTAACTCAAATAAGTTTCAAAATTCTCACTCCAAGACAGAAACTGTCTCCCCATTGCTCATGTTTCTAAGTATAGGAACTTCCATTTAATGACCCTTTAGGGCTCTCTCTGTGCATACACAACCCCCAGCCTTCACATTGAAGCAGAATGAATTTTCCAGCTTTTTGGTCTAAAGAGAAAGGAACTTAAGCTCCCACTTAAGGACCTTGGTATTTGCTCATCCCTCTGCCTGCACTATTCTTCCCCTGGCTACTGCCAAAGGTTACTTCCTTAAGTTGTAAGAGAGAATTTTGTTAAGACTCTACTCAAATTTCCATGACTTCAGAAAGGTCTTTTCTGTCCCCTTCTCTATCTAAAATAGTAATCCCTATCAATCTTAATTCCTTTAATTAACTATATTTTTCTTCATAGCATTTATCACTAGTGGATTTATATTATACATTCACTTGTTATTTAGTTTAATATCTGTCTCCTCACCTTATCCTAAAATGTAAATTGAGAGTGAGTTTATTTTGCTCACTGTTGTATACCCAGCACCTAGAACAGTAACTGACACATAGTAAGTACACGTGTAATAACACGTTGAGTACACAAACTGTTCTGGTAAATTTTTATTAAACTTTCTTATAATCTTATAATTTCCAGCGAGATTTTATTTTATTCTCTTTGGATTTTTCTGTAAATAATCATTTAATCTTCATAAAATGATTTATCTGTTCTTTAAAAAATACTTACATTTTTGTCTTATGTTCTTATTTAACATCACTGGCAAGCACTTCTAGAATAGTGCAGTATAGTGAGACTGGGCACCCTTCTGCTTCCAATTTAAATGGGAATGTGTCAAGTGTTACACCCTAAGGATGATGTTGGCTATACAGTCTTGTTAAGGAGATCATTTTTTTAGCCTTATCCTACTAAGTCATTTTTCAAATACATTTCCAGAATATGTAGAGGTGTTTTTAGATATGAATTTCCGTATGGTGAACTAAAGAGTGTGGACTTTGGAGTTGGGGCTTACTTTGCATCTCAACTCTATGTGAACTTCTGCAGAACACTGATTTCCTCTGAATCTCAGTCCTTCACAGGCCAAATGCAGGTAATAGCTACTTTATAGAGTTAGTATAAGAATTATGTAAAATAAAGTTTAGAAAGTCCTTAGCCAGTATTTGTGACATAGTAAAAGGCCAATGAGTAGTACTTTTTAAACTTTTTATTATTCCTGAAATTTACTCCACTGAGTCACAGTAGAGTAATATTTATTTAGTACAGTGTTAGATTTTACTTTGTTAATACAGTAAGTTATTGAAAGGCACTATCCTGTTGTTTTAGAGAGGGTGACCAGATGATTTTTTTACCCACAGCTGAGTAAAAAGTAACAAATAAATAGTCTGCATTCTACAAAGACGCACCAATATTTGGGGCTAGACATTCCCCTCTTCTCCCAAGTAGCAGAAAACTGTAGTGGGGAGGGGGGCATACCAGAATTATGTCATTAACCTCACAGAGTCTACAGTGGCTTTTCCTTCTCTTTTCAGTGTTGAAGGGAGCAGGGAGGCTTGGGGTTTCCTAAGGAATTACTTACAAAGACTGAGTTTTTCAAAAGGTAGAGTTTGCTGTCTCATTCTTCAGCTGCACACCTGTTAGCACACTCGCTGATTTGCCCTATGTTTAGCTATATAAAAACAAATTTGGAAGATGGAATGGGAGGAGAAATCAGAGCACACTGCATCCCATTGTTTGGCATGGCAAGGATGTTTGAGTTTCTGAAGGGGGAAAATGGACACTGAGGTTCTAACTAGGCTTGGGTCATTTTGCTGGTATTGCATGCAGATTGCTGACTGCCAAGCTAGTGATCCTTAGCAAAAGAGGCTATGACATATACTGGAGGTGGAAGAGTTGAGGATGAATCTGAAGAGGTGTGGCTGAAGGAGGCTCTCCTTGGTTAGGGAACTGGTCTGTCTGAGAAACTATCACCCATGTCTCCTTAAAGAGTTAGGGTTTTTTTTTTGGGTCTTCTTCTTCTTCCAACTGTAAGGATTGCAATTTTTTGAGGGCAAGCACTATGTCAAATATAGAAATTCTGAGGTTCCTCTTCCTTTGGGACAAACACCATCTCCCACACCACCACCAAACCCCTAACACAGTGTTACTATATAAGCACACAGGAAAAGCTTTTTTTTTTTTTTTTCAATTGAAATACATTTGAGCTATAACATTGTATTTGTTTTATATATACAACATAACTATTTGATATATGTATATATTGTGAAATAATCACCACAATAAGTCTAGTTAATATCCATCACCATATCACATAGTTACAAACTTTTCTTTCTTATGATGAGAACTTTTAAGATCTATTCCCTTAGCAACTTTCAATGTGCAATGCAGTATTTTTTACAATAGCCACCATGTTGTACATTACATCCTCAGGACGTATATTTATCTTATAAACTGGAGGTTTCTGTCTTTTGACCATCTCCACCCATTTCACCAGGAAGGCTCTTTGTGACTAGAGTTGGCTGGAAGATGACAAATAATAAGAAAGAAGAGGGTAGCAGTAGCTAGGTTAAGTAAGAAGCTCTGTTCTTTCCTTCTCTCTCCTCTCTTACTCCTATACAGGGGTAGAGGAGGAGGGTGTGGTGCTGGTAAATATTTAGGAACCTTTTTTCTCCGAGTGTAGTTTCAACATGTATGTTTATTGACATTTTCATTTACCTTAATGAATAACATGAAAGTAAAACAATAAAGACATATGTTAGAATTTCATTCATTCATTAATGGCACAAGCTACTTTTTTTTGCTGAGCCAGACAATAATTTTTGAATTCTAGAATATATCTTCAATTTTGTGTGCTATTCAGAGTGTAATGGCTACAGGCACAACACACTTTTTTTTTTAAGATTTTATTTTATTTTATTTGACAGAGAGAAAGAGAGATCACAAGTATGCAGAGAGGCAGGCAGAGAGAAAGGGGGAAGCAGGCTCCCCGCTGAGCAGAGAGGCTGACATGGGGCTAGATCCCAGGACCCTGAGATCATGACCTGAGCCGAGGGCAGAGGCTTAACCCACTGAGCCACCCAGGCACCCCCAAGACATACTTTTAAGTTTAATCTTCAACAACATTGTCTCCCTCACTTTCCCCCACTGTCTTAAATTTAGTCAAATAACAAATCAAGCCCCCCACTTTGTACTGTTTGTTAATTTCTGTAGTGTAAATACACCCATGGCTGATTTCAAGCTACTGATGGGACATCACCGAATGAGCAATTGAAAAGAAATGTGTAGTAACATGATATTATATAATAGTTTGCCATATGGATACAATAGATGTAAGTTATTTCAGCCACAGATAATAGTAACATATAGTAAAATAATTAGGGACGAGTTTTGAGTATTGTCTTTGTTTTAACTATGTCATTGAATTTTTAGCTTACATAGTTTAACTTTGAATAATAACTTAACCATCTCATAAAATTCTGAAAACTCAACAGTCAGTTCTAACAAACTGGTAGGAGCTGACTTTAGCACAACATTTTCCCGTACTAGAAGCACAAAAAATTATAAGAAGGAAGAGCGGGAGGTGAGCTAGAAAGACTACACCCACCTCCCACTCACTGGCCATACTCCTTTTCCACTTCAGCTCCCACAGTGTCAATAGACTGGCTAGAGAGTGGAAGGGAAAGCCTCAGCTAGCATGTGGAATCAAAATACTAAATTGGACTGACTTTTAATAACCAAAAGTGATCAGAATGAAATTGGAGAAATATAAAAACTGTTTTCTGTTCCTGAGTTGAGAATAAGCAAATGAAACAATTAAGCTAATATTTTACTTTAGGTTTTAAAAAAAATCTATATTCGTAAGTGAGATATA